ATTATTAACAACATGAAACGACGCTGACATTTGATCATTTTGTAGATAAAACCAAACTATATCAGTTACAATCAGTTACAAACTAAAGCTCTTAATATAAAATAAATAAACATGGAGCTCGCGCACAAAGCCACAGCCCCTCTCGTTACTATAACAACGGCTGAGGAGTAAACGGGACTTGTAGACAACTTGTGATTGGTCAGATTGGACTGTCCTCCTTCTGATTGGTCCTTTCTGCCGTCGCTTACAAAATACCATTTTCTGATTGGTCAGTACCTTCGCTCATGCCCCGCCCTCTACAAAAAGTAAGCTCCTTTTTTTTCCTATTTTTTTTCCAGCAGCTCCACACGCAACAAGTCTGCAAACAGAGGATAAGGTCGCGTCAAACAGCGGAGATTTGGCGTTGGTTCGTGTCCAGCAGAGGAGAAACACGCGTGGGGCGTTTCTCTGACACGTTTGTGTGTTTTTTGGATTGATAAAAAGTCGGTGGAAAGAACCGGGAGGGATGTGAGGAGTTTTAAAGCGCCGGTGTTTGTTGGTTTTACGATGGAGGAACCTGCTACCAGGCAAGTGCTCCCCGCCCGTTAGCTAGCTCACAGTCCGCCTTCAGACGGGATATATGACGGATAAAAAGAGTTTAAGACTTGATTTAAATCATTTTTAATGATCGTGTAAATGTTGTTTTCCTTCGCAGGGAGTTGGACTCTGTGTCAGACGGAGCTTCGGATGACGACATGCCCGTAATGCTGCCCACAGACGGCGGCGGGAGCATCCGCAAGGTGAGCCCGACTTTAAGCCCCCCGCAGTCGGTTCAGATCCTCCAGGAAAGGCTCGTTTCCTCCTTTAAAGACAGATCAGAACCTCAGGAGCTTTGTGCAGAAGATAATCTGTTTTGTTTCCTCACCTTTGGCTCATTTTTAACTCTTAACTGAGCTGTTTGCTTTCATTTTTATCTGCGTTTAACCCGTGAGTACAAGGCTGTCCGAAATGACGTCACCATTCATTTAAAATGGGGAGAATTGATTTAAACAGTTTTGAGTGAAAGATGATTTATTACCATACCATCACAGATACAAGGAGCCAAACGTAAAATAAAATGTTAAATTTAAATGTTAAATAACACATGTAAATATTAAATCCTCAGTCTAAATGTGTAAATTTAAGTTAAATAAACGTTGTGGCTAAATGTTAAAGTTTACAGTAACAGCCTTTGCTGTTGGTTCTTGGCTCTTGTTATGATGTCATCATCCTGAGACAAGGAGAACTGCTAACGCTGCTAATCCTACTACTGTTGCTAACACTTCTCTACAAGACATCCAACTGGTGTCCCAGCTGCCGGACCACAGGTACCACCCGTATTGTTTTCAATAAACACATTTTGAATTTAGATTTTAAATGCTGGCTTCAGCAGCATTAGCATCGTTAGCATCGTTAGCAGCGCTAGCAGTATTAGCAACTCATAACAAGAGCCGAGCACCAAGAGCAAACCTGCATTCAACGTTAAAGATTAAAATTTTAGATTTAGATTTACACATTTAGAATTAAAAAATTTAATATTTACATATTATATAACATTTAAATTTAACATTTAGTAAAAATTAGCAAACTTGTAAGAACAGTGAGCTAAATAACAATAAAATGTTTGAGCAGTTTTTTACAAAAAGCAAACTAAATAATGATAAATGTGTTTCAACATTTTATTTTACACTCAGCACCTCAAATACAGAACATTTGTTTAACTTTATGTGTCAAACTCAGGCCCTACGGGCCAAATATGGCCCTCTTTAACATTTTATCTGGTTCCAAAGTTAATACTTTAGAGTCAAGACAATTAACTATAAATGTTTCAGTAATTTTAGATTTTGTTGTGGAAAGAGTTGAAGATAATCAACTTTAAATATATTTTCCTGTATTCTTTTCTTATTTTAATATCAAATAACTGGATTTTAAGTGAGGGTTTTTCTTTTTACCTGATTTGCTGGATTGTGATAATATGTATCTCTAAGAAATAATAAACTAAAATGATGATAAAGAATAAGGCAAAAAAAATAAATTCTAATGATGAGTCTTTCTACATTTCATTTTTGGTCTATTTTTAGCTTATGTTTATTCTAAATGCTACTTATTTATAGAAGTTCATTAAAATATTTCTATAAGAATAATTTGTTTTTCAATAAATATTGACAAAAAGGCTTGGACCAAGTTTTAAATTTTGTCCCCCTTATATAACTGAGTTTGACTCTGCTGCTTTAGAGAGTATTGAAGAACTCGAAGGTCAGCTGCAGGTAAAAATCCTGAGTTTAGTTTGAATCACTCTCATGACGTCACTGTTGAGGCTGAAGGAGTAAAACAGAAACCTTTAGGTCCTTTAGGTCCTCGTCTTTAAATGAGATCTGGACTCTGGTGTTTCTCTGGTTTCCACCGCAGGGCTGCGACCCCTTCGCTCAGACGCAGCGCAGCAAACTGCAGCACCGCCGCGCTCGCATCAACCAGCAGATCAACAAGGAGATGCGCATGAGAGCCGGAGCTGAGAACCTGTTCAGGTGAGCAGCTGGGGACCTCGGGGTCCTGTTCCTTTAGTTCTGTCCACCATGAGGTCATGGTTCTCAGCTGGGGACACTAATCCAGGTCAGGTGGGGATCTTTATCTCAACTGGGTAAAGATTTGATGCAATCTTCTGGCTTCCTTGGAATAATTTATGTAATTTTTCTTGTACAGTTCCCTGAGATGCTGTTTGTTGTGACTTGGTGCTGAACTGATGAGTTGAAGTATCTGAGAGTCTTGTTCACCAGTGATGGGAGGAGGGAGCAGGAGGTGGCCTCATTAATTGTAACGAGTAATAAACAACAGGCTAGCTAAAGGGGAAAATAGTTAAGGTTAGCGAAAAGTAACTAAAGGCTAGTAAAATGCTAGCAAAAACCTAAACAAGGCAAAAGGTTAGGTAAAAATATGAACCAGCAAAGGTTAGCTAAACATGGCAAAAGGCTTGTGAAAAGCTAATAATAGTAAAAGGCTAGCTAAAAGTCAAAGTAATTTAGTTTAGCTATATGTAGCAAAAAGCCCCCTGTACAGCAAAGTCATTAAGGTTAGCTAAAAGCATCAAAACACTAGCCACAAAGCACTATAATAAAGGGTGACTAAAGGAAGGGAAAGGGTGGGGATAGCTAAAAGTAGAAAAACGCTACAGTAATAAAGATTAGCAAAAAGTAACAAAACATTGTGAATAGCTAAGGGTAGCAAAATGCTAGATAAAACCTAAACATAGTAACAGGAGAGATAAAAAGCAAAGTAATAAAGTTTAAAACTAACAACAGGCTTGTGAAAAGCCAAAGGTAGCAAAAGGTTAGCTAAAATGCATAGTAGTAAACATTAGCTAAAAGTATTAGCTCAAAGGCATGTGAAAAGCGAAAATTAGCAAAAGGCTAGCTAAAACCTTAACATAGTAAAAGACTAGCTATAAAGCAAGGTGATAAACATTAGCCAAAAGTAGAAAAAGGCTTGTGAAAAGCTAAAGGTAGCAAAAGGCTAGCTAAGACCTAAACTTAGCAAAAAAAGGCTAAAAAAACAAAGTAATAAAGGTTAAAAGTAACAACAGGCCTGTGAAAAGCTAAAAGTAGCAAAAGGCTAGCTACATGTCAAAGTACTAATGTTTAGCTAAATGCTGTAAATGGCTACATAAAAAGCACAGTAATAAAGGTTAGCTAAAATTAGCAAAAGGCTAGCTAAAACCTTAAAATAGTAAAAGACTAGCTAAAAATCAAGGTAGTAAACGTTAGCTAAAAGTAGCAAAAGGCTTGTGAAAAGCTAAAGGTTGCAAAAGACTAGCTAAAAAGCAAGGTAATAAACATTAGCCAAAAGTAGCAACAGGCTAGCTAAAATCTTAACAAAGTAAAAGACTAGCTAAAAAGCAAAGTAATAAATGTTTGCTAAAAGTAGTAAAAGTAGCAAAAGGCTTGAGAAAAGTTAAAGGTAGCAAAAGGCTAGCTAAAACCTTAACATAGTAAAAGACTAGCTAAAAAGCAAGGTTATAAACATTAGCCAACAGTAGCAAAAGGCTTGAGAAAAGCTACAATTATCAAAAGGCTAGCTAAAACCTTAACATAGTAAAAGACTAGCTAAAAAGCAAGGTAATAAACATTAGCCAAAAGTAGCAAAAGGCTTGTGAAAAGCTACATTTAGCAAAAGGCTAGCTAAAACCTTAACATAGTAAAAGACTAGCTAAAAAGAAAGGTAATAAACATTAGCCAAAAGTAGCAAAAGGCTTGAGAAAAGCAAAAGGTAGCAAAAGCTATCTAAAACCTAAACCTAGCAAAAAATAAATAAATAACTAAAAAGCAAAGTAATAAAGTTTTAAAGTAACAACAGGCTTGTCAAAAGCCAAAGGAAGCAAAAGGCTAGCTAAAATTCATAGTAGTAAATGTTAGCTAAAAGCAGCAAAAGGCCTTTGAAAAGCTAAAGGTAGCAAAAGGCTAGCTAAAACTTTAACATAGTAAAAGACTAGCTAAAAAGCAAGGTAATAAACATCAGCTAAAAGTAGCAAAAGGTCTGTGAAAAGCTACAATTAGCAAAAGGCTAGCTAAAACATTAACATAGTAAAAGACTAGCTAAAAAGCAAGGAATAAACTTTAGCCAAAAGTAGCAAAAGGCTTGTGAAAAGCTAAAAGTAAAAAAAAAAAATCTAGCTAAAACCTAAATGTAGAAGGGTGTTGCTCCAGTTTGRTGTGGTGAAGAAAGGTAAAGCTCTTGATTTACTGGTCTCTGTTTTAAACTTGAGTTCTGGATCATGAGCTGAAGATCCTGGATCTAAACGACTGAAATCAGGAGGGTCCACACTATGTGTAGACCTCGTGTCAGACCCAGAACTTTCTGTAGAGGTCTGGGTTTCCCTCCAAACCCGTTGGTTTCTTGTTGATCCTAAAAACCCCTGTGAGTCTGTTTGTGTCCTGACTGGTTTTTGTTGTGGCTCTCTGGAGAACATGAACAGGTCACTGTGCCAAACTCCCTGTTGTAGGAGGCTGCTGCCTTACTGATAAACACTGGACTGTAGAGGAGGAGGAGGAGGAGGAGGAGCAACTTAATTAAAGCAAGGCGCTTCTCTCTGCCTCCCTAATGGAGCCTCTGAATCAAACCTGCTCAACAAAGAAACAGTCTTACATTTTAGGCTAATTCTCTGATACTCCAGATTTGCATTATCCTTTCCAGGTATGAAGATATATTTGACAACTAAAAGGTTCAAAAATATATTTTAATCTTTTAACATCCTAAAATCCCTGTTATGGCCCTGTCCAGTTTACCCCTTTCAGAATAAAAGCATTTCTAGACAAAGTCTTTATTTAGTAGTCAAACAACAAATATTTTCACTTTATATGAAATCAATATCTATATTTGTTATTTAAATATTGTTAAATGTTTTATTACTTATTTTTCACACTCTTAGTTTGAAGTTTAGCAGCTAAAGATGCTACATCAGGGCTATTCGACTGTCAGCCCGCGGGGGTGACCAAAGTTTGGCCCACCAATTGGTTCATTCACCTCTTAAGACCAAATCCCCAGTTTTCTACTTTAATTACTCTAAGTTCTTTAAGAAAAGGCAAAGACAGTAAGCAGTTGAAGATAAAACTATGAAAGTGAAAATGAAATTGCTTTAAAAATTTGGCAAATCAGAGATGTCAAAATATTTGTGTTAAATAAGAGGCAGAATGTGGTATTATTGTTTTTGATGTTTTAATATCACTACATTTACTACACAGGGTTCTGTATGTTGTGTTCATGATTAAATGCAACAAAATAAACAATCTCAAAGGTAACACATCTTTGTAATACTTGGTTTATTTACATAATGACTTTAATTGTTGGCTGTTCGGCCCCTCAGCTTTTACCTGCAGTAACTGTGGCCCCTGGAGAAATTTAGTTGACTAGCCCTGTGCTACATGCTAACACACACAGTGCCTGACACGTCCAGCGCTGCCTATAAGAGCAGACAGTTTTTTTTAAATTTGTGATAAACAGCATAAAAATAGAAGTTCTATTCTTGTGAATTTTTTAGTGGGCTTAGATCTTCTACAGTTTCCAAAGTTAGCAAAAAGCTAATAAATGAGAAGCTAGTTCCGTTATTAGTGGATTAGTGGAACTGTGCCCACCCCTGATGACGATAATAAAACTCTAATTTAAAAGGAGACACATGTGCTGCAGGTGACTCAAAAATATAAATCTGAGTTTGTTCACGTCGACAGAAACCACGTCAAAACTTTAAAACATTCAGCGGAACGCCCACGTGCGGTTTTTGTTTCGTTTTATTTTTTTATGTCGTTTCTGTGCTTCCGTTTAACCTGTGTCCGTGTTCAATGCATCAAAATGGACGTCTAGCCCTCCTCTTTCGATTGACACCTCGTTTGACCAACTGGGTTCACGTATCGGCTGTCCAGAGCCAATAATATTTAAGAAGTGACCAACTTCTGGTTTCCGTCATCCTAGGTTTGATTGACTGTAGATTCAGCCAATCAGCTCCGAGCTTCATTCTGATGCCACAGCTGTGTAGCCAATCACAGTACTTTTCATTTGGTAGTTTGAGGGGGTGGGAACTTTGTTTAGTGATGGACAAGGTAAACATGGAGTAGGTCGCCATATTTAGGCAGTATTGCTACGCTACCAAAGACAGCCACGCTCACAGGAAAATGCTTTTTCCATCATTTTTTGGCCAGTTATCTGACTAAACCTGCTGATAAGATGAAAATATATTTGTTATTAAGTGTTTCGAGTGCTTCAAGACATGGAAAAGTGATTTTTGTGGCCAGGAGAAGTAAAAAAGTTTGGATAAAAAGACTTCCGGTCGGCCATTTTGAATCGCTAGTTTCGTCTTATTTGAGGACAAATATGCATCAAATGTGAGTAAAAAACAAATATTTTTTCGCTGCTGGTTTTATAAGCTGTGTGGAATGTTAATGCTTTGAAAGATATAAGGATATATTTGTTTATTCTTGCAGTTTGGCTGGTTATTGGTGGAAATTTGGCTGAAAGTACAGTGTTGGTGTAAATATTTCTGAATATTAATATATATATTTTTTAATTTACAGTGGTTTGCAAAAGTATTCATACCCCTTGAACTTTTCCATATTTTGTCARATTACAACCACAAACATAAATATATTTCACTGGAATTTAATGTGAAAGACCAACACAAAGTG